CCCCCCGCCCCCTTACCTATGCACTCGTCCTTGTATTGGGACAAAACAGAGCACGTTGCCGCTGAAGAAGTGAAATGATTGGCATATCGCATGCAGAGTGCGTTGCTGGGCCTCATTGTCTCGCCCGCGCCTGTCAACATGTGTCGTCCAGGCCCGGCCAAAGCACGGCCGCGCCAGCCGGGAGCAATAAAGCCTGCCCATCGCCGGAGGTCGCTGATAGCTGGAGAATGGCTCAAGGAGTGCCGCCGCTGTTTGCGCTGTGCCGCGGGGGTGGCGGGGCGCGGCGGTACCGGCGGCTCGGCTTGTTTACAGCAATATTTCTGCATTTTTGAGTGTGGCCTGCACATGGTGCAACAATGAGTCCCAACAGAAACAGAGGGCACAGCACAGCAACGCGGGGGCGAGTCCTCAGTCCTGCACTTGTAGCGAAAGCGGAAGGATCTCTCTGCTCGTTGCGACGAGGCCTTCTCCTCGGCCCTGTGCCGCGACAGAGAGGAGCTCGTGCATCGCCAGTGGCGCGAAGTCGCGCGCCCCCGTGCGCCCCCGCGCCAGCGCGCCCCCGCGCCAGCGCGCCCCCGCGCCAGCGCGCCCCCGCGCCAGCGCGCCCCCGCGCCAGCGCGCCCCCGCGCGGCCCTAGCCTTTGCGCCAATCGAGGCGCCGCCGTGTCTCCCTTCGCTGCCCTGCTTCCTGACTGCGAGTGAACTTACGAGTGTGATTGAAGTGTTGTGTTTGTGTTTTACTTCTACGTATCGGTGTTGTGCGTTCGCTAATATGCAACCAGACAAGGAAAATAGTGCAAGGAAGAGAGAAGTTTTGGGACACCAAGCTAGGCTTATGGTGTTCTCTGTCTTGCAGTTCTTCCGAGCGGAGAAGAAAGCTAAATGTTTATTAGTGGACATTAAACAGCTTCATAGAAGGACTGCCAGGGCGTGTGGTGTCAGTCGTACTTTAGTTCAGTCGATTGTCAGCGAGGTGAAGCGCCAACGCCAGCAACAACCCCTTCAACCCCTGCAGCCCATGCCCTATCAGCACGCGGCCACGCCCACAGCCGCGCCCACGACCGCAGCAGCCCAGCAAGCTCCGACTCCCCTGCAGCCCCAGTTCAGCACACCTGAGACCAGCACCGAGCCCCCGAAGTTTAGCACCCCTAATAAGATAAGGAAGAAGAAGCAGTCGGTATGTGACGTCGATTCATTTGATATTGCAGCCATTCGAAACCTCATTCAGTCATTCATAAGTAAGAAAGTTCGTCCGACTCTTCAGAAGTTACTAAAATCCCTTCAAAACACTGGAATACTGGTTAACAGGTCAAGAGAAAGTCTGAGAAGATTGTTGGTTAACTCTATGGGCTTCCACTTCGAGCGGTACAATGGCCGAAAAACACTTATGGAAAGAACAGAAATCGCCCTGTGGCGGTGTCGGTTTTTGAGGGCAACGAGACATTTGGACTGGTCGAAAATGATATTTATAGATGAGACATGGGCCAACGCCAACGATTGTCACCAAAAGGGGTGGACCGATCGCACTTTGAAGGGCTCCATGAATAACCCTATTGGTAAAGGCAGTAGGATTATCGTGTGCCATGCGGGTGGCGCCAACGGGTGGATTCCCACGCCACCCCTTATTTTTAAATCAAAGAAAACGACAGACTACCACGAGGAGATGAATGCGGCAGTTTTCGAGGAGTGGTTTGAAGAAGTCCTTTTACCAAATATCCCTGCCGGCTCTGATATAGTAATGGACAACGCCTCTTACCACTCGCGGCAGCTGGACAAGGCGCCAACTTCAAACACGCTGAAGCCTGACATAGTGGCCTGGCTGCTGCGTCATGATATCAGGGAGGACGAGTACGGCAACAAGATCGAAACTTTACTTAAGATTGAGCTCTTGGACCTAGTCAAGCGGAAGAAACCTCGATTTCCGTCTTATTATATTGACAATCTGGCTTTGCAACACGGTCACCGAGTCATCCGCCTCCCGCCCTACCATTGTCATTTTAATCCTATTGAACTGGCATGGGCCCAAGTCAAATTTTACGTGAAGGAACACAATCAGGCGAGAAACTTGACGACAGTGCAACAGCTTTTTGAAGAGGGCGTCAACTCCGTCACCCCTTCCGCTTGGGCAAAGCTCGTCGATCACGTAAAACAGGCCGTAATCAAGCAATGGGAAGACGATGGGCTTCAAGAGCGAGCAATCGGGCAATTTGTAATCTCTCTGGCCGACTCGGATCCCGATTCGGACGACAACAGCGAGGGGCACGATATCGACGGAGTGGTGAACGACATCGCGGACGAGGACGGGTGGGACGAGAGTAATGAATTGGTGGACTACGAGGGTGGTGGCGTGGACGACCCGGCCAACGATGGTGTCGGACTTATGGATGAGTCCGAGGGCGGCCTTACGGATGAATCGCACAACGGCAGCGGCTGGGATTGGAACCACCTCGCCGTGGATGCGGATGACGAGGGTGAGGACTTCCTCCTCCAGAGAGCTCTCTTTCCGGCTGCTTACAAGCGACAAGATTCATCTGACTTGGGCGTACAGCTCCTTCCTTCGGTATGTTAAAGCTAACTCTGCAAAATACCGGGTGTATCACAACGAACGCAGAAGTGCTGTGGGTTTGTCTTCTCCCTCTAAGGCTGTCCGAGCCGAGGCCCCGGGCCCCCCCTGGCGAAAACGGTAACTCTTGTTTCATGTTTCTTCAGAGTTTTCAGAACGTTTCCAGCCAGTTTCATCGGCGTAAACGGCGTGAAAACTCTTAATGATGAAGAAGAAACCGGGATATGGCTGTTTCTACAGAGTTTTCAATAACCCTGTAGAAACACGGTGCTGTAACTCGCCGGAAACAGCCGAGAAACATGTGGTACCGAGTTATTTAGGAGTTTCCAGAAACACGGTTATAACTGTCACCAGAGTGAGTTTCCAAACGGTTTCCACAGCGTTTCGAAAAACCGTTTGCTCGTGGTTTCTGACAAACGGTCTGCAAACTCTAAGAAAAGTAGGTACAGTGTGTTTTTGTGTGGTTTCCGTTAACATGGTGATAACCTCATACGGCATAAGTTTCTAAACGGTTTCTTCCCATGTCTCTGGTTTCTTCAACGTTATGAGAAACTTACCCAGCCAAAACTGATAATTTCTTTGACGTCGATTCGACCTCGACACTTCGATTTGAGTGGCAAAATTGCGTTTTTCGAGCATCGCAATTTTGCGTTGGTTTTTGAAACATCCCGAACAATTAGTACTCAATAAGCAGAAATCTCCCTGAAAAGCCTTCATACAATTTTCCAGAAAACTGTGATATCTTCAGAAACTGCGTAAAATCCTAAACTGTTAACACAAATGTTCAACTGTTCACTTGCAAGTGTGCACCTCCCTGTAACACACATCTAAGTGCTCAACTTACTAGTTATACACTTGTAAGTGTTCAACTCAGCAGTTGTACTGTACACTTTTAAGTGTTCACCAAAGGGCGCGTTAGACAGGGCTGTTAAACATGTGCGGGTGTAACTGATAAGTTGCACACATACAAGTGTATAACTAGCGATTTGAGCACTTGGATCTGGGTAACAGGAATTTGCACACTTGCAGGTGTTGAACAGCTGAACACTTTTGTTCATACTGCATCAAATCCATGGATGTCCTGTGACATTTTAAAATCCTTAAAATTTCAAAAAGTGCCCCCCCCCCCTCAAATGTAAGGACCTTAGGAATCCTAAAAAAAAACTCATAAAATCTTTGTAACATATTGGAATTGTCCAATTAGTTATTGAACGAGTTTTGCAGACATGGACACCTTTCGATTCACGGTGCGAGTTTTTAAAAGGTTTCCACAGCACGCTGGAAACCGATTGCAGCGTGTTTCTACAGCGTTTTTGGAAACACGATAATAACCTCTTCCCCCTCTACCGCACCCGCCCTCCCCGGAGGGAGAGGGACGGAGGATGAGGAGGGGGTGGGCAAGCGGCGTGCCCGGCGGTGTCGGGCCGGCGAGACAAAGGCTGGAATGTCTTTCGCCGTACGGACACGCCCCCGCATCGAGCTGGATGGCTCAGTTGGTTGCGAACGAGGCGAGGACGCTGAGTTGGCAGCGCCGGGTTCTGTTCCCGGCGCTGGCAGCGGTAGGCGTGTATCCTTCTATGTAGCAGCCCAACAAGCCATGATCATAGCCTTTAAGGGAGTGACCAACTCGGATGACCGTAGGAATCCGAAATAGCAAAGGGGCAGCCGCCTCGATGCGAGCATCGGAGCAAACATCCGCAAATCAAATGATTATTTTCATTTTTTTTAACATCGGCATTTTAAAATTAAAAAATATATCAAGCAAGCAATAGAAATTACTATTGTTTGCAAATATATTCTCCCAAGATTCACACACCGGACTCCGAAACGCACGAGAAACGTTGTAAACGCTCGAGGCCTACCGTTACAGAAACTTTCTGGAAACTCTCTGGAAACTCGATGCTCACCGACAGAAACTCTATGGAAACTGGTTGATAACTCGATGCCTACCGTTACAGAAACTGCCTGAAAACTCTCTCAAAACTCAAAGCAGCACGTTTCCCCACAGTTTTCGACCCTTCAGAAAGAGCGTGTATAAACTGCATGTAGGACGTTTTTCAGAAACGTCCCAAAAACTAATGTGTAACTCGCATTGAGATGTTTCTGAAAACAGTCTTATAACTCTCTGCTTTCGCCAGGGCCGTGGGGCCCAAGGGGGTAAGGGCCGGGCGAGGGAAGGGGAGGGGGGGGGGCAAACCTGCACACCTCGGCGTCCGCTTTGATACATCCAGTACATATAGAAATGCCCTCGAACATTTGCGTAGAGATCGATAAATAAAAATGTCCTTCCTTGCAGGAGAGCACGGACCAGTCTCCGGAACCTGCCGGCTCTACTTCCGGCGCCAGAGAGTCACCTCCTCCACCTCCTCTCGAGTACATCAATTTATAGTGAATCTTTTTGTTATTGTTGTTGTTTCTGTTTTAGTCCACAGTTTGTTTGAACAAGGTTTACTGGTTTTGACGAATCAAAATTATTTCAACTGGACTGTTATAATTAAAATGAGTGCTGCCTGAAAACTTGTGTTTATATTATCCAAATTTCACAATTAAAAAGATAGGAAACCGGGAAGGGGTGGGAGGTGGGGTCTGATCAACCTGCAGGCTCGATTTAGCGTAATTACTTAATGTTTGACAAAATCACTGAATCTTGAGGCAAAACAAAATTCAATCAATGCGTTGCTTGTCGGAGTGTATTTAAAAGGACGCGTGCGGGCGACTCCTCCTCCTCCACACCACCCTCGCCAAGGGTCGGCTAGACCCAGGGACCCAGGTAGTCGCCTACCACCGCAGCAACATCTCGCTCAGAAAAGCTCGCTCCAACTTGTGTCCTACTATAATCATGTCCGTCTGTCTGTTTGCAGGTGCCGGCCCCACGCGCGAGCTCTCGCCACTGACGGACATGGACGCCCAGGCCGATGTGGTGTCCGCCGCCTGAGGGGGACGACGTCATCTGGGACCTGGACAGCGACTTGCAGCTGGTCGTCGGCGGGCGTGCGGGTGCTACCATGCGCGGCTCCGTCGTCGGGTCGTCGTCCAGGACGCCGTCGGCCGACCTGGCTGGCGGGAGGGGCGCTGGCGAGCGCCCCCGCACGCACCGCGCGGGCTCGGTGTCGTCTCCCGGGTCCGGGAGCCGTACAATGTCGCCGCCGCCGAGGCCCGCCACGGCCACGGAGCACGGCAACTGGCGGCGCCCGCGCCTCACGCGACAACTGTCGGAGGGACAGGTGCTGCGCTCGACGGCGTCCTCGGTGGCTTCGCCAGTGCCGATGACGCCCCCTGCCTACGTGCGGGCGTCCGCCGCGGGCCTCCACCGTCGCCCGCTCCTGCACCAGATGTCGGTGGAAGCCATCGGCAGCACCAAGGAGGTGCAGGGCCTCCGCGCCAGGAGATCCAACACCATCACTGGGACCAGGTCAGTGCAAACGGTGCCAGCGCCCTCTCCGCCCCACAATGGAGTGCTCAGCACCGCCGCTGCCCTCGAGGGCTGCCCCTCCACCGCGAGGGGGTCGCCCGCAAGAGCGCGCTGGTGCGGCGCACAGTGGTCGGCAATCGCCAAAAAGCGGCAAAAACTCGATACGCGCTCCGTAGGCGGGAGTAGTGCCGGGCGGTCAGCGCTCCCCCGACCCGATCAGTATTAATCGCTTGATATCGTGAAATCTACCATCAAACCATAACAATCCATATACCAACGGGTAGGGAATTTATCCTACTTCTATTAGCCTAAGATACGTCGCTTTATAGATACGGTTCTACCTTTGGCATGCATTCAAACACAACTATGTGGTCGCGCAGCATCGCCCAAGAAAAACTCACATTTTTTCCGTTTGCGCAAGTTTGCGCAAAATGTCTTTGTTGATATTGATAGAAGAAGCTTCCAGGATTGTCGTGCAATCTCCCGTTTCCCCAACAAACCCCAACATTTTTTTAAAAGTCAATTTACATTTTACCCTTGACGGCTGGTCGGCGAGATTTCATGTATATATATAAATGGATGTTAAATGCGTAATTATCATTCTAATAAGTCGTGCCTCGTATGAGAGAGAAGGTGGAAGTACGCCCTTTCTGGTGGCACACAACTTTTTCAGTTCATTTGCAAGAATATACTGTTTATAAGAGGTCAAAGTAAGCGTAAAAGTTCGTCCGCCCGCGACGCCGACTAACCTCTCAACCGAACCACAACTTTTGCATCGAGTTTTGAAATAACTGCGACAGTCTAGGACGTTTTCTTCGTTTGAATATTAAAGTCTGATGCTTTATATATGTAAACCAAACAGTTTAGATACCTGACGGGTATTTTCAAAAAGAACACTTATTGCCGCTTTTCGGCGATTCCCGACCACTGTGCGGCGGCAAAGTGTTTCGGGCTGGACACTTATTTGGGGAGTGGGCGCCCGGCTCCGAGGGTTGCCCGCTGTGCATCCAGAGGTGCGACGAGGAGGGCTATATTGCCTATTTTATCGGCCCTTTATTCCACTTCAGAGACCTGCTATTGGCTCCTGATCTCATTTTCGCCGGCGGCCGCCTCCCCTCCCCGCCACCCGCCGGAAGCACCCTCTTTACAGCCTGGCCTCCTCCAGCCCGGGTCCCCAAGAGCCTCATTGTTTCGCTGACAGGTCCTGCGGAGGGCCTCGCGGGGGAGCATGTCGCCAGGAACATCCCCCTCTCCTGCCCGTCCTCCCCGTCCTCACCGCCCGGCTTTTTTGCCTCCCAGCGAATGACCTTATCTCGTGTCTTTTCGAACCTGTCGTTGCGTGCCTCGCTACCTCACCAATGTGTACTCCCTCATCGGACAACCCTGCTAGTGCCTTGCAGTCGATGCGAGAGAGGAAACGGTTGTTCCCTGGAGGGTGGTGGGCTGAGGATATACATGCGGACATTTAAGTTAGTGTATCACTTATCCTTCCGCACGATGCAATGCAAGCCGTCCCTCCCGGCGGCACACAGTGCACCTGGGTCGATGTACGTCCAGCAAACACACCGAGTTCGCCGCCCGGCTGGCGGGTGTGGTAGGGCAGCAGCAAGAGAGAGAGAAAGAGAGAGAGAGAGAGAGAGAGAGAGAGAGAGAGAGAGAGAGTGAGAGAGCACGAGCAGGGCTTTACCTGGACGGACCGAAGTGGTGGCGCTCCCTGCCGAATACAGCCGTTTTACGAGGCCGCGACATCACCGGATATTACTGCTCGAGCAGAGGGCGGGGCAGGGTGGTGCCACGAGGAAGTGAGGAAGTCCGCAGGGTGTAGGTGCAAGCTGCCCCCCCCCCCCTCACATTCGATGCCGCGACTGGGCACGCCCCGCTCTTTCCCACTCCACCCGCCCCGCACCGCTCCCCGCCTCGTCCTCCCGCTCCCGGCCCCAGCCTTGAGGTGAAGTCGATGGGCCACCCCACCGCCGCGGGGGCCGCAACTACACCGGCGCGATATGTCCCCATCCTGGTCCGCGGTGCCGGTAATCTCCGGCAGATATGGTGAATATCGCCCAACTATAAAGTCCCACGCCGTAACGGAAGGAACGGCAGGCTGGGTGCTGCCGGCCCGAGGTAGCGGTGGGGAGCATCCCCGTGAGAGGGCGCCCACCAGGGACGCCACCCGGCCGCAAGCGATTTGCATTCTCGCTGCTGGGCTCGTCGCGCCCTCACCCGTGACCTTGTCCGGCCTGGACCCCGTGTCACCCCTTCGCCTTCGCCCGCCGGGGACGGAAGGGGACGAAGCGCCGACACAATCTGTCGGGGGCGCTTTAAACGCGCGTCGCCGGAAAATGAATGTCGGACCCGCATGAAATCTGAATGAGAAGAAGGGACTTTCCACCTGTTGTTTGCTCTGCGGGCGCCGGCGGCAGCGGGGTGGCGCCGCGGACATCGCCCACGCCGGCACTGTTGCGGCACTTGAGGATTTCAGACGCTAAATGTCATGCATTTATGCATTGACGCCTCTCCCTTCTCCGCCGCCGGGGGGTGCGCTGTCCCGAGCCCGGGGACTCCAGGCAGGTGGGACGTCCGGGCTAGCGGGCAAGCGATCAGTCGATAGCCACAACCACAAATGCGGAATGCCATCACGCTGACACGTGCCATTTCCACAGTGTCGAGGTGCTCGTGTGCCACTGCGGCGTGTCTGCTGCTGGTGCGGTGGCGCTGGCCGCCCACCGGCGCTATGCCGACGCGACGTCGTGTCGCCCGAAAGTCCTGCGGGAAAATGGATTCAGCAAGCGCCGCGTCAAATTATAATTAATTCAATTTCCGGCTTTTATCTCGGTGACGTATAACGAAATGGGGCGGTTCGCTGGAGGCTCCAGAACGCGGGCGGCGGCGGCGGGGTGCTGCTGAGGCTCGGGACCGCCCGGTCGAGCGATCGCCAACCACCGCCTCGCCGGCCGCGCGGGCGAGCCAAAGTTTGATGCGCTGGCTGCAGCGATAATCTAGCCCCCCACCCCCCTTACCCCTCTGACATCACACCAACCCCTGGTGCCCGCCCGCCCCTCGTGCTGTAGACCTTCTTGACGATACAACTTCAGTATTGCTGGAGTTGTTGAGTCCCTCAGCGGCGGCGCGGGATCTAACTCGCGGCACGGCCGCCGCCTCTCCCACTTCCTACTACAGTATACTCTAGCTGCCGATATTGCGAAAAATGTCTCTCTCATTCTCTCTCTTTCTCCCCCCACTCCAGGACGCGTGTGGGTCGGGTCGGGCTGGGCCGATGGCCGGCGAGGCACGCGTCTAGGGCGATAGGGGTATCAGTGCTGGCCGCGCGTCCCGCGTGCGCCCTTGAGAGGGGGCACCACAGACCCCCCTCCTCCCCCTTGCCCGGCCGTGCCCTTTTCTTCCCTTGTGGTGACCATGGTGGTGACGCGCTGGGCCCGTGCCGCCTGCCCACCCCCTGACCTCCCATCTCCTCCACCCTTCCCCCCTTTTCTTTGACGACGACGCCGCGCGTCGGCAGAGGCGAGGCGGCGAAGGCCTCCACGACCTCCTCCTTGACCCTGACGCCTTGCTCTGACACCGCCCCGCCGCCGTCCTCGCCCAGCCTCCGCGCGGCGCGTAGCGCGCGCTCTCGGCGCTGTCGCCGTGCGGCAGGTGCTCAATGGTGAGGATGACGACCAGGCGATAGCGGGGGCCGCGCGCCATGTTGGAAGCGAGGGTTGCAAGCTGGTCGATCTAGATACGATCGCTGATCGCGGTAAACGTTCTCTTTGGTTTCTTCCCGGGGCGACTGGGCGCGAGGCTCATTCAGTCTCTGGTATGATTTGCGAATAGTTCATTGGGAACCCAGAAGACGTTTTCCCCGCTTACCGTGGGTTTCGGGGTTGTTTTTTTATTGCGGGTTTGTTCTCCTCTGTGACGCAGAGGCTGTAGCGCCTTGGCGTACTGCAACTTTGTGGCGTCTTCTCTGAAACACCAGGTACATCTCAAAGTAGCACTCTGGCACTCGATGAT